CTAGAAGAAATCTCAGAGCCTTTCTTTATCCTGAATTTTCCAGATTTGGAAAGTAAGGTCCAATGAACAGAAGTGACTTTCCTAAGGCCACATAGGTGATAAATGTCCTCTGACTTCAGAGCCAGCAATTTCTTCTGTACTACAGTGATTTATTGTAAAGGCTTTATTCTATTCTATTCTATCCTGCATCACTGAAGTCTCCAATTTCCAAAACATTCTGGTTGGAAATGAAAGGGGGTGAGGGTTAGAAGCTGGTATATCACTAACACCAGGGCTCCTTCCTCAGAGTCTATTCCTCCATTTTATATCCCATTAACAAGAAGTTGGGGATCTTCTGGAGTTCCGAGTCTGGAGTCCTCCTCATTTGAGAGTTAATGCCATACTAAGTAGTACAACCTAAGCCAGCTGGCTTCACCAAATCCAACAGTACCTCATATCTCAGCCCACAACTATAAAATATCCAGACATGAGGCCTCCCAAGGTCAGGGTCTTGTTTATGACCAAGGACTCACATTTTAAGCCCAAACAGGACGACGAGTACGTATTCCACATGTGCTGTATTTTGGGGGCAGGAAACTTCCCTAACTTCTACCACCACTACCATCATGAAGCAATGGAACTAGAGCCAGAGTTCAGCTAGACCTCAGGGAAGAAGCTCACAACCTAAGTGACCAAACCAATCACACTGGCTTCCAATCTCCTGATTTATGTCAACTTGGAAGGACATCTCCATTGGAGTATCCTAAGGATCTTTGCCTGGCCTTGAGTTATATATCATTTTTATCAATGACTTAGATAAAGGAATACATAGCATTCTTATCAAATCTGTAGATGACACAAAGTCAGGAGATATAACTAACACATTAAATGAGAGAGTCAGGCAGCATCCAAAAATATCCTGCTAATATATGAAGCACTGGGTTAAATGTAGTAAGATGAAATTCAGTTAGCACAAATATAAAAATCATGTGCTTAGGTTCAAAAAATTATCTTCATATAAACAATATGGGGAAGGCATGTATGGACCACAGTTTATCTGAAAAAAATCCAAGAGATTTATGGGATTGCAAGCTAAATACTAGAAGCACTATATGGCCTCTAAAAAACCTAATGTAGTCTTGGGCTACACCAAGAGAGGAATAGCTTCCAAAAATGAAGAATTAATAATTCCTTTGTATTGTTCCCTGAGGATTACATTTATTCTATTTGGTCCCAGAAGATAGAACTTCGAACAATGTTTAGAAGTGGTAAAGAGGCAGATTTAGACTTAATATGAGGGGGGAAAAAACTTCCTAACAGTTACAGCTCTACCAAAATAGAATAGGTTGTCTATAAAAGTAGTATTCAAGTAAACAGTCAATGACTCCTTGCTGGAAATGTTGTAGCGGTAATTCTTTTTCAGGTATGAATTGCCCTAGACAGCCACTGATATACCTTCCAGCTATGAAATTCTGTGATTGTCTGAATGATTTCATCTATTCTCATTGGTTTTGTTTTCATCCACATAGGTAAAATGCAAAGATGCAGTAAGAAAAGTGCTGGATTTAGTCAGATGATCTGAGTTCAGATATAAGTTCTGCCTTTTAATAAAGGATCTTCTACAGTCCCTTTCAAACTTAAATCTATGACGGGTATTAAACACACCCTCAAAGAATAATGAAGGAAGAAATGAGAATGGAAAAAAAAAGGAAAATAAAGGGAATGATCTGGACATAGAGACTATAAAAGCTGTCTCTGCAGCTTGCTCAATCTGGTAGCCCTAGAGCTAAAAGTGAACTAGATCAAATGAATTGAACTCCTTAGCATCTTCATCCATCCCCTCCTGTACAACCTCCTGCCCCTCTATTGGATCAGAGGAAGAAGAAGGGTTATGGTCCTTTCTTAACTGATCCAAGCTTCCACATTAAAGTGGCCTGAACTCATCTGAGTGATGAGGGAGAGGGCAGAGTGGTGGTGTCTAAATTCCACACCCAATCACAGGCCTAAGAGTCCCCAGGCCGCCTCATTACCGTGTCAGGGACCCAGAGTCTAAAATAAACCCTATGACGTACCTGCCACCATGATAAGGTAGACATGTCTGAGGAGAGAGAAGAACCACCTCTGCCTTCATTTATGCCACTCTGAACAAAATTCTGGTAAATCCCACACAATAGTTTCACCTCAACCAAAGGTGATGAGAACTGTCCCTTCAAACCCCTCCAATATTAGTCTATATCTCAGGATTTCAAGATGCCAGGACTCCCAACTGTGTTACCCAGCCCAGTTTCACCCCCTTTTTTTTCCAAGAGCAGAAGAAAGAAACCCTTGCAGCCTAACCCTCCACTGGAAAAGGTGGGAGCCAAGAACTTAAGACTAACCCATAGTGTAATCCTAAATATTAGATCATCACAATGGTGCTAAGACTCCACTTGCTGAGATGCACAGCCCATTCCCTCCCCTATGTGTTGTGACTAATACAAAGACAAAGGGGAAAAAAAGAGAAAAGAAAAAATTCTTCAAGTCAAAACAAAAAACAGCATACCTAAAGAAAAGCTAACTAGAATAATAAGATCAACTGGAATAATATAAGCTTTTTCGAAATCTAAAAAAAAAGAAAAAAAATGCTAAAAAATAGTTTTAGATCCAAAAAGCATAAGCCTTTAAAATGTGACCATATTATTTGAAAACAGGAATTCACTTCAAAGATAAACAAGACTTGGCAGAATTTATCAATAAAAACCCCATAATTAAAGAGATCCCTATAAGCAATGGAAAAGAATGTTTAAAACTGACAAGTATAAATGACTAACAAAAATTGTGTTATTACTTTTTGTTAGAATTTAATATGTAGATATATGTACAATTTATAAAATCTTATCTGACAAACTGAAATAATAAAATGGAAGTTTGGAGATAAAAATAGATATTTTAATGATTAACAGAAAAGGGCAAAAGAATACTAAAAAAAAAAACCCAGCCACTCAAAAAAAAAAGAATGAAAAGAAGGACCTGACCACCCTCCAAAACAGTTCTGTCAACAGATTGAAAATGGAAATACCAACTGTTTTATTTGCTATTTTAAGAGCTGAAATAGCTATACAAGACTAATATAAGCTCTACTGCTTTTACTAACAACAATAAAATGACAGAAAACTAATCAAATACATTGCTTGTAACAATTACAATTAACAATGATCCAAATTTTCCTTTAAAAAGGATAAAATTAAGAAATAAATCCCATTCATACGTTGCTTATAGAAACCACAGATAATGGGAAAGATATAACCAAATTAATCAGGAGTAAGGGACTGTCCTAAAGCATATCATGCAACCGAAAATTAAAAAAAGAGGGTAATAATAGTATATAATAAAGTAAAATTAAAATTAGAAAAAATGAAAGGCAAAGACAAAGGCATTACAGAATAGTTAGAGGAAAAATAAATAATATGTAATAGTTTCTACCACATGCATATCAAATAATTCAATGGCTAAATTAAAATTTTTAAATATTAGTAGTCACAAGAATAAACCAAATACAAGACTTAGTATTGTCTTATCAGAACATTTTTTAAAAATAAAAGGTTATTAAGAAATCATAGATTTAACTATGATTTCTTAAGATAAATAAACAGAAAAAAAACAAGAAATAGGTTTTATTTTCAAGTACACTTGCAAAAACCTACACAAAGGATCACATAACAAGTCATAGAGTAGCTATACATAAATTCAAAAGGAAAGACATTATACTTGCTGACTAATTAGTTAAAGAACAAAGCTAATTATTTATAAAAACATAAATTGCTAAAACTGAAACACCAGGAAATTAATCTTCTAAGTAAAACAACCTGGGAGGAAGAAATGGCCTGAGAGTTGGTAGACTTAAGATTCCGAATGTGACATACCTTTTTCAACATGACCAATATCACAATTTGTTTTGTTGTACTCTACATACTTGCTTTGAGCATCCTATTTTCTTTTTAAACTGTTCAATGAGAGTGAAATAGGAGGGATCAGTAATAAAATGTTCATAAAAATAAACAAGGAATGAATAACTAAATAAATAATAAAGGAATAGATAAATTAAATAGATATACGTAGACATAGGAAGGGAGGAAGGGAGGAAGGGAGGAAGGGAGGAAGGGAGAGAGAAGGAGAAAGAGAGAAAGAGAAAGAAAGAAAGACAGACAGACAGACAGAAAGAAAGAGGCACAGAATTAGTAGGGGGGAAAAAAAGAAATGCTCTTTCAGGAAGGAAAAAAGGATTTGCCTGATTTAAAGGAAACAAAACAAAACAAAACCTGCTTCAGATGTACTCAAAGTAGAATTCTTTCAAATTTTTCACGAACAAATAATGCCTAAAGATGGAGGAATTACATTTTTCACTTTCTAAAATCAGTGCAAATGGCAAAAATTCTTTATAATCCAAATTACCCTATTCTCCCAGTAGGTCTCAGAAATGAACAGCTTCTGGCATGAAGGAACAATGGAGATATGAGGAGTCTGGAAATTAGATCCATAACTTTAGGATAATAATTGGTTCGAGTACTAGGTCATCTTGGGGGGAAGGGGGGCCACAGAGATATACAGCAAAGGAGAAACTGAGAAGTGCCTTCAAGGCTCAGCTCAAATGCCACCTGCTCCATGAAGACTTCATTGATCACCCTGATCACCCTAGTTGTTAATGTTTACTCTTTTCTCAAAAAACTTTCTATTTTTCCCCAATAAAATGTAATCTTCTTGAAGGTAGGGACTGCTTCATTGTTAGCACCTGGTATTATGCCCACACGTAATTAAAAAAAAAATCAACTAAAGTTTGTTGAGTTAAACTGAATGGCAGCCTTTGAGCTGGAAGCAGGAATGTGTAGTAGGGGCAGGAACAGAGGCTGAGAAATAAGTATCAAGTCAGTGATTCATTTCCAGAATCTATCTTTGCCAATGGCTACTCTATGAAATGACACAGGTTACACCAATGGTCATGCTGGCAATATTTTTTAAACGTATTTTAATGCATGTGAACTTACCATCCAATGAAGTTTAACAATATATTTTCCATAGCTATTATATAGAGGCAGATGCCCTTTCACTGCCTTGCATAGAGAATATATATGTTCCCAGGGCTTCCAATTTAGAACAGGAGGATCTGTGGACTGGCTTAAAATATTTCCATTATATATCTTCCATACTGAATGTATCTCACTGATAATCCATCTCATCAGCTAAAGACAAAAAAAATTAATATTAAATATTTTTAATTAAAATGCTACTAAATTTAAAATAATATTTTTCTAAATACATCTAAAATGAATTTTTAAAAATAGACTATTATTAATATATTATTGTGATATGATTTATTATTTTCTAAATTGGAATTAAGAAGAAATTTTATGGCTTCTGATTTGTCTATACATATCTGTCTCCCAAAATAAGATGCTATTTTTTTAAATTATAGTTTTCTAAATACAAAATGTATTTAGAAAACTACAATTTATAAAAAATAATATATAATGATAATATGTTATTATATTTATATATTATGAGTACATGTGCATTACAATTAAGAGTAGGATGTTGTTCTAAAACATATCATGCAACTGAAAAGTTTAAAAAAATAAGGAGGGCAATACTAATATATAATAAAGTACAATTAAAAATTAGAAGAAAATAAAAGACAAACACAAAGGCAGTATCATGAAAACTCAGAGAATACATATGCAATATGTACTGTTATATATAACATGTTATAATAATAATAATATAATATTCTAAATTGTAACTGTCTAAATATATTTCAAATGTATTTAGATAGTTACAATTTAGAAACAATAGCATTTTATTTTGGGAGACAGATATAACTTAGAAAAAATAATACTGAATGCCCATTGAAATAGTAATATTTAATTTCTGTGTAACACTGAATTATGAAATGATTTTCATAATGAAATCTAGTAACTTAAATTTAAATACTAAGCTTGGTTTTCTTACTTTTGCAAATATACATATATTTTGACAGGCACTAATAATTATTAATTAGCTTAAAGGCACATTAAGATTTCTTACTATTTTATTTTAGAAGACAAATATGAATAAACAAATCTGAAGCTATAATAATTTACTTTCTTAAGCAAGTTAAATTTTGGAGATCAGATTTATTGTTCTATCGTAGTCAGTTTCAAAAGTGTCCTGGACTAACTAAAAAGTATGACAAAATAGCATAAGACCACAGGGATGTTTAATATAAACTGTATACGTTGTGTTTCAGATATAAAGATGATGCTGTTGTACACCATCAATAGGACAAGAGCTGTGTATGTTTTTTCATTGTTGATGTTGGTTGGTGATAAATCATCTACTTACACCTTCTTACTGAATTCCCTTTGTTGGTAAGAACCTATATGAATAAGATGACTTTAAGATGTAGCTGGTGATTCCATAAAGCTTACTAGTGGAACAAACACATGAACTTCAGTTTTTAGCCTTATATCCAACTCTACCTCATCCTTAAAAAAAAAATCTTCACTTAACCATACAATGTTCTGAAGCTATTGTCCTGTCTCTTTTCCCTTTTTCAGTAAAATTTCTAGAAAATGTTATCTACATCTATTGTCTCTGCTTCCTCTCTTTCTCACTTATTTTTTAGCTCTCTGTAATCTAGTTCATCACTCAGTTACAAAACTGGTCCAGTCCACTTTAGAATATGGATGACTTTCCCCTATACACATACCTCACTGCAGATTATATGCCCATTTGCTGTAAATAAGTCAAATGAGATTTCATCTTTCACTACCACAGGAGTCTGAAAGACAAAAAATAATGACATTATTTAACAATACAAAATCAACAAAAGTTACAGTTAATATGTATCAGACTGTTATAAAAATGACAATGGTAAATGATCACCTTGTCAACATGAAAGTTTAATCAGCTGTTTACATAAACACAAAAATATAAAATACAAAAATCTATTTAATATGTCTCCTGAATTGGATTTGTAGTTCAATAAACATCTGATACCTAGGAAATTCCTTTTTTTTTTTTTTTCATCTATAATAAAAAGAGAAGCAAATTAGAAGAGTGGACAGAGGACTGACACTTAAGTCAGGAAGAACTGTGTTCACATGCTACCTCTGATATACTAGCTATGTGACCTTGGACATTTTGCATAACCTCTTATGTGCCCAATACAACAGAAATCTCCCATCTATACCAGTAGCAACGGTCTATAACATACAGATTTAGACCCACCCAAAGTTCCCAAAAGAAGCTGATAATATTAATTATGACAGATTGCTAACATAAACTAAATTCCACTTACTTTTAAACAGTCAATCAATAGATTCACATCTGGGTAATGGGCTAGAAGGATATCAATGTCCTTGATAACAACTGAATAACTAGAAAGCATGGTGAGTTTTAGGGAAAGATAATGAGTTTTGTTTTGGATATATTGAATTTAAGATTCATATATGTCAGGCAATTTGAAAGTCAGTTCATGGAACAGTATTAGAGCTCAGGAGAAGACTAGGACTGGTTATATAGATCTGTAAGTCACTTGCATAGAAATGATAACTGAATTCTTGGGAGCCAATGAGGTCACCAAGAGAGCAAGTATATAGAAAGACAAAAAGGCAGCCCTGGACAGAGATTTGGAATAAACCCACCATTAAGGATACAGAAGAAGTTACCCAGACAAGTGTGGTATGTCCCAAAGAGCAGTGTCATGCAAACTCAGAAAGAAAAGAGTATTCAGGAAGAGATGGTGGTCAATCGCATATTACAGACACATCATAAATATTTGTTGATTGGTTGGTTAAGGAAAGGAGAATTTTCCTGTCAAGAGGCTCTATTCTTATATTTTTGACAGGTTAAATAAGCTCAGAGCTAAAGCTTATATGTTTATATTATTAGTCTGAATGCTCAATGTGAAGCTGAGAGTTCTTTTAAGGAAAGATATGACATATTATGATATTCCAAAGGGGAACCTTGGAAGAGGGCATGAGCTAAAGAGAATTTATGAGTAACCACCTGAGATTTTATATTATCTTGGGGAACTAAAGCCCAGTTAATACATGGGCCACATAAAAAATAAACTGCAACTTCACCCTGTTCAAATTTTTTGTTATATCAGAAATATATTGTAGATGATAAAAAGGACTACGCATCAGAGGAAAGCTCCAATGCTACCATTTCACCTTGATTAGTCACGTAACTTCTTTGTCGTGGTTGTTCTTAAGTCATTTTTCAGCCCTGTCCAACTCTCCATGACCTCATTTGGAGTTTTCCTGGCAAAGATATTGAAGTGGTTTGCCATTTCCTTCTCCAACTCATTTTACAAATGAGGAAACTGAGACAAACAGGGTTATGTGACTTGCCCAGGGTCACACAACTAGTAAGTGTCTGAGGCCAGAGTTGAACTCACCAAACTGAATCTTCCTGACTTCAGGTCCAGCTCTCTATCCACTGCACCATCTAGCTGCCCCTCATAACTTCTTAGGAAACTGATTTTCTAAGTATATAATGTGAACAATAATATGAAATTATTAACTGGGGGGAAAAGATACAATTCTGCTATAACCAAATAAACTAGTATTTCATTACTATGCATAGGGAAATTGATGCATTCAAACTGAGACTTACAGAACTGGAACACACAAAAGAGCTAATTCTAATAAGCACTGGAAAAATGATAAAACAAGAAAGACTTAAAGTGACTTTATAGTTATAATGAAAGTCCTTCTGAGAAGTGGCAATGGAAAATGCTGTCAATCAAACACTCTAGCATCTCCTCAGGCAGCAGCTCAGTCTACCATACTGACATAAAAACTCCCTCAAGAATATAAATAAAATTGAAACTGTCTCTTGGCAATTGAGGCAAATGAAAGATATAAGGGCAAAAAAGCAAAGTAAAAAATTAGGCTATACGTCACCTTATACTTTTAAATTTTCAAACATCAAGCAATAATAAATATGTGGATTATTTATTCTTCCTGAATATTGAAGGAAAATATATATCTTCTTATCATAGAAACCAAGAGTTTGAATATTTAGAGGAAGCTAGGTACCACAGAGGAGACAGCACTGGGTCTGGAGTTAGGAAGACTTAAGTTCAAATCTGACCTTAGACACTTACTAGCTGTGTGACCCTGAGCAAGTCATTAAGCACTTTCTGCCTCAGTTTTCACATATATAAAATAGGGATAATAATAGCATCTATTTCCCATGGTTATTGTGAGGATCAAATGAGCCAATATTTGTAATGCACGTTACAAACCTTAAAGAGCTGTGTATATACATATGTACATATATATGGTAGCTACTATTATTATTATATTTACATTTCTAATACTGTATCCAAGTTGTTGATCAATACACATTATTGGTTATGAAAACAATGCTTTGTACCTTGTTGATCAAAACTTCCTGTGGACGTTTCCATGCAAAAATTTTTAGTGATGGTGGCATTTCAATCTTCCCTTCAGGGTCATCAAATAAATGCTATTACAGGTAAAAAGAGAAAGGTACACATTAGAGAATGAAAAAGTCATTAACAACCACTGAAAAAGGAAACTTTCTCTTGAGAGGCAAAATAAATTATCCAAAGACTTGCCAAGACATGTTTCAAAAGTTAAAAATTAACAATTAGTAAGCAAACTGAGTTCTTTAACTGAGTGTGCATATAATAACCCATTTATTATCAACAGTATGTGAATAACAAAAATTAAAGGATAAATATTTAATTACTGATTTTCATAAATTTTCTATTTCCTGTCATGTTCTATTCTTTTCAATAAAGAGAAGTCAAAGGACTTAAGTTCAAAACTTCCGAGTCACTTACTACTTGTACTTGTTATTCAGTCACATCCAACTCTTCATAACCCCATTTGGAGTTTTCTTGGCAAAGATACTGAAGTGGTTTACCATTTTCTTCTCCAGCTCAGCTCACAGATGAGAAAATTGAGGTAAACAGAGTTAAGTGACTTGCCCAGGATCACACAGTTAGTGTCAGAGACTAAGATCTGAACTCAGCAACATGAATGCTCCTGACTCCAGGTCCAGCACTCTAATCACTGAGGCACCTAGCTGCCTGCTACCGCTTGTTAAGCTTGGGCAAATCATTTAACCTCTCTGGGCCTCAGTTTCCCTATCTGTAAATTAAGGAGGTGGTCAGAATAAATTGTCTATAAGGTAATTCCCAGCTCTAAATTTGACCTGATAATTCTATCATTCATTAAACTTAGAACTAAATGTGATTCACATGTTATAGTTTTGCAAGACTTTTCACATAGATTCATGATCATCAGAAAAAATCCTGCTAGGGAATGTGTGCAGATGTACATATTAACTAGAATGTCTCCAGAATATTCTCTCACATGTCAATATTCAGGATTTTATCAAAACTACAGCATAACTAACAGTTGGGAACTATTGAGCACCTGTTGAATACGAAGACTTCTATGCAATTCATGCTTGGTATTATAGCATTCAATGAACAGAACATTGTTATTGCCTACAATTTCAGAATACCTTATTAAAATAATAATAGCAACATAGTGCTTACTATGTGCTAGGAACTCTGCTAAGCCCTTTAAAATTATTTTACTTGATCTTCACAACAACCCTAGGAGATAGATGTTACTTTATCCCTATTTTACATATGAGGAAACTGAGGAAAAAAGAGGTTAAATGACTTCCCCAGGGCCATACGGCTAGTAGGAGTCACAGGGCAGATTTGAACTCAGGTCTTTCTGGCTCCAGGCCTAGTGCTCTATCCACTATGCCACCTAGCTGCTCAGTACTTACGACTGAAAATTTGCGTATTAGCCTAGCATGTTAAAATTTTTTATAAGGTTCTAAGACAGAATTTCTCTACCTGAGGGGATTCTGCGACCTTATTTAAAAAAAAATACTTTGATAATTGTATCTTAATTCCTTTGTTATCCTATGTTTGTAATTTTATGCATTTATAATCTTATGAGAAAGGGTCCACAGGCTTTATCAGATGGCCAAAGGGATCCATGACACAAAAAAGATTAAGAACTATTCCTCTAGAAGAGTTAATGTTAGGTAACTTGTGGCTGAAAAATATATTTGAATGCTGAGCTCAACCTAGCAGCCTGAACAAGAAAGTCACAGATGTTTTTGAAAGCAAGAAAATATTTAAAGGCACTATGATTTTATTAGTGTGGATCAGTCATTCAACAAACATTTATTAGGCACCTACTACATGCCTGGCACTATACTAAGCACTGAGGATATGAAGGCAAGCAAAAATATAGTGTGAGTGCCAAAGCAAACAAGAACTGCTCCAAAATTTGGGTAATTTTGAAATTATTTTATGGCAATACTTCAAAGGGCCTTCCTCTTATCTCTGTAGACTAAATGAAACTTATTAGATAATCTTTAAGAGCAGCTAAATTCAAAAAATTAATCACTCTGAAGGCAACCTGGTGATGGGCTGTTCCAAACTACCATATATCACTAGGTATAGAAGCATACAATAAACAAAAATTTCTAAATGAACTTGAAAATGAGAATCCAGAAAGCTTATATTCCACTTACTAAAATAGGACTTTTTCCAGATTTATCTTTTTCCTTTGCTCCTTTTCCTCCATCCCACTTTTCTGCATTTATATCTGCTTCATTCCATTCTGGCCAAATTGGGAATCTTCCTCTTTTTACTTCAGTCAAACCAGACTGTGTGCTACTTCCAAAAGATGACTGACTAGAAAAAGAAAGGTAAGTTAATTAAAAACATTTGAAACTCACAGAAAATAAAGGGATTATATTACTTGAAAGTGCTATGCTTAAATACATACTTCAGAAGAATAACTATGGCTCAGAGATGTCTTAGAGATCCAGAGACTTAAGAAAATCCTTAGGAAAACAACAAAGAAGTCATTGGAGATCCACAGATGTAGCTACATATTTATTAATTCACTGTGACTACCTATTTACTAATTCAAAATTCTACCGATCCAAATCATACAATGTTATCATAAACTTCCAAGACTTTAATAAAATATAGGGGACTTGAAAGGGTTCTGACCTTGACTGTCTCTCTCTTTCTCTTGATAATTTTATTCAATCTCATAACTTTTCTCTATGAAGATGATCCCCAAGTATATTGGGTCACTGAAAACACTTCCCCAGAACTCCCATATTTCCAATATTTCCATCTGGCTGCCGAACATCGTTACCTAAATGTTAACTTCACTGTCTTACAGAGTCATAGACTATTAGAAGTCAGTTTCCCCCCTATATGGGGGGAAAGGGCTAGACTTGGGAGTCAGAAGACTGCTTACTACCAATGGGACTTTGAGTAGGTCACTCAACATCCCTGGGCTTCAGTTTCCTCATTTATGAAAAAATGGCATTGGACGAGATGACCTCTAAATTCTCTTTCAGCTCTAAACCAAAGATCTTTTGATCTTAATTCAAGGGGATTTGCATACTGACTCCACATTAGCCTGTAAGCCCCTTGAGGGCAAGGACTGTCTTTTTGCTTCTTCTCCAGTATTTAACACAGAGGTTGGCATACTGTGGGTGCTTAACAAATACTGACTGATTGATCCATGAAAATGAAACATTATCTGAACACAGAGATAAAGTGCACAACCTCCTCATTTTACATATGAGTAAATGAGGATGGTTAAGCACCTTGCTCAAAATCAGCCAACTAGAGACAGGGCCAAAACACAAACTCTAACTTCAAGTCCAGTTAACAGAACTTCAAACAATCTATCTCCAACCAAACTATATCTGCTTTCCACAAACCCCTCGTAAAAAAAAAGCATATCCCCATTTTGTCTCCTCCATTTCTGCATGTGACACCATCATCCTATCCTGTTGGTAGGATAGTATAATGGAAAGAAGGGTAAATCGGGATAAAAAATTTTTGCGATCTGAATGGCAATCATTTAAAAGTTCTTTTTTTTCTCTTTTTAGGTCCAAATACTACCGAAGGAACTCCTACATTTTAAGAGGAATAAAAAATCTATTTTAATTAACCAAAGGCAATCTTTCTTTTTTCCATTAGTACCTCAAATTCCTAGCTAATTTTTTTTTTATTTTCAAGGGTGTGCTTAAAATTAATTTGGACATTAGGAGTAATGAAAACCCTTCAATATTCAGTAAAGAGTAAGCCCATCTATAATGTAGTATTTTTAAGTCATGATGTGGCCCTGTTGATCCTTTGATCTCTATAAATAGTTGTCCATTTTAAAAGATGGCACTACAGAAGGTAATTTTGATGACTACTAAAAATTATTATTAGAAAGTATATTCTAGGGCATTCTACTTCCAGAATATTGTGTGAAAGGAGGAGAAAGGGAATGAGAAGGGGAATAAGTTTATATAGCAAATACTTTACATTTCCTAAAAATTAAAACATAATGTTTTACATTATATTTTTACAAATATTATCTCATTTGATCCTCACAATTGCATTACTTGTTCAGACACTGGTGTCCACAAGGGTTGTGATGCCCCCACTCACCTCCAGCCTCTCACCCTAAACCTAGTTCATAGTCATGTCGTCTTCCTCTGGTGCCTCATCTTCACAGCAGGTCCTGTCTCTGAGCACGGCAGCCCCTGGCTCTGGCTCTACCACTACCTCTCCTGTCACTACCAATAGTCCCCAGTGTCCAGACTATTATCAGTTAGTCACCACTGCAATAACAGCCCCTCCTAGTGCCCAGAAATACATTGTTGTATCTCTTCCACCACGTGGGGAAGGCAAGAAAGGGCTGACCCTTCCCCAACACCTCCCCCATCATCTTCCTCCCCTTTTCCCCTTGAGGGTGGCTCCTTTCTGTAGGAAAACAGGACACTGAGGCTATCTGCCCCCTCCAGCTTCTGGTACACCTAAGGCCAATGATTCACATTACTCTGGTTCCATTTCTCCTCAGCCGACCCCTGAATAGCCTCCTCCTACAAAATCATATTCTCACATTCAAATATAAATTCTCATTCATGTTATTACATTTTGGTTTGGGGAAAGCAGTGGTCGCCTCAATCCCTGAGCTGTCCTCAGATATGTCCCATTGTACAGACCCCTCCCCAAAATAAAACAGTTCAGTCTGTAAAAATAAGTAAATGAATGAATAGATAGATAGATAAGACAGACAGACAGACGGACAGAGAGACAGAGAGAGAAAGAGAGAGAGATAAGAAACCAGCAGCAACAGTGCTATGGCTCAGATCTCAGGCAAAGAGCAAAGTTCACTTAAGGCATTAATCCTAACCTGCAGAAGAATACCCAAGGTAAGAATCCCAGAACACATGGAAACCTAAAATTCTGCCACTTGAAACCAACAGAACTTTCTAACTGGCTGACAGAGACAGAGTCTAGTAGCAAGTCTACTCTTGCTCAGACCAAAATGCAAGTTATGATCTTGCAGAGCCTAGACTGGGGGACAAAAATCAGACTTTGCCTTGGATCAGACAAGAGCACTGAGAGCTTACAATTCCTCAGACTGTTCTTAAGGTCCTGGAATAATGCAGCACAATACTCCAAGAAAGAAGCAACAGAACCAGCTGAGACCTTCCCTCCAAAAGTGCTGCAGAATGCAGCCTAACATTAATTAAGTCTAAAGTCAGAGAATAGTCAGGAAGAATGGGCAAACAAAAAACAAACAAAAAAAACCCAGAAACACCTTATTGTGTCAGTGATTCTCAAGAAATAAACACAGAAGAGAATGACTCCAAAATATGTACAAGAAATGCCTCAGAGTAAAACACAGCTTGGGTTTTAAACTCAACTAGAATTCCTGGAAGAGAAGAGCAAGACTTTTTTAAAAAGAGTTTAAAATATTTATATAAGTGGAATGAGAGGGCTTGAAGGAAGGAAATGGATAAGAAATGAAAGCTAGGGAAGAAAGAACTAGAAAGGAAACCATCAGCTTAGCACAAGAGGTACAAAACCTTGCTCAAACAACAAACTCCCTGAAAATTACTCCATGAAGTATCAAGAAATACTCAAAACAAATTCAAAAGTCAGGAAAAAGGAAAAAAAAAATGTGTCTCATAAAAAAAAAAAACCAACCCTGACCTGGAAAACAGATTGAGGATAAAACATTTGACAGAATATCATGACCATAACAAGAGCCTAAACATCCTATTTCTTTTTTTTTTTTTTTTGAGAGGCAATCAGGGTTAAGTGATTTGCCCAGGGTCACATAGCTAGTAAGTATCTGAGACCAAATTTGAGCTCAGGTTCTCCTGACTCCAGGGCCAGTGCTCTATCCACTGCACCATCTAGCTGCCCTAGACATCCTAATTCAAGAAATCCTAAAACTGCTCAGATCTTTCAAAACAAGAGGGCAAAGTGAAAATAAAAAGAATCCACTTGTTACCTCATGAAAGAAGTCTCAAAATGAAAATTCCAAGGAATAACAGCTGAAGTCCAGAATTTGCATGTCAAAGAAAAAATCTTGCAATTAATTGGAATCTAAATCTAATCCTAAAAAATGAGTGGGTCAAATAAATCATAGAAGCAATCAATAACTTCATCCAAGAGAATTACAATAATGAGATAACATACCAAAACTTATGGGATACAGAGAAAGTAGTTCTTAGGGGAAATTTTCTATCTCTAAATGCTTACATGACTAAAATAAAGAAAAAGGAGATCAACGAATTGGGCATGCAACTAAAAAAATAGAAAAAGAACAAATTGAAAATCTCCAATTAAATACCAAATTAGAAATTCTGGAAACCAAAGGACAGATTAATAAAACTGAAAGTAAGAAAACAACTGAACTAATAAATAAAACTAGGAGCTGGTTTTATGAAAAAAAAAACAATAAAATAGAAAAATCTTTCTTAATTTACAAGTATCCAAAATGAAAAGGGTGAAGTAACCACCAACAAAGAGGAAATTAAAACAATGATTAGGAGCTATTTTGACCAAGCATATGCCAATAAATTTGACAATCTTAGTGAAATGGATGAATATTTACAAAAATATAAATTGTCCACATTAACATAAGAGGAAATAAAATACTTAAATGACCCCATTTCAGAAAAAGAAATTGAACAAGCCATCAATGAACTCACTAAGAAAAAAATCTCCAGGACCAGATGGATTTACAAGTGAATTCCAGCAAACGTTTAAAGAACAATTAATTCCAATACTGTATAATCTATGTGGGAAAATAGCAGAAAAAGGAGCCCTACCAAATTCTTCTGATGATACAAATGTGGTGCTGATAGCTAAACTGGGAAGAGCCAAAAAAAAGAGAAAGAAAATTATAGACCAATTTCCCTAATGAATATAGATGCAAAAATTTTAAATAAAATATTAGCAAAGAGATTACAGCAACTTATCATGAGGATAATACAATATGACCAGGAATGCAGGGCTAGTTCAATATTAGGAAAACAATCAGCATAATTGACCACCATATCAACAACAAAACTAACAGAAATCATATGATTATCTCAACAGATACAGAAAAAGCTTTTGACAAAACAACTTCCACTCCTATTAAAAACACTAGATAGCATAGGAATAAATGAAACCTTCCTTAAAATAGTAACCTTGTGCTTGACAAACATAAAGATTTAAGCTTGTGAAGTAAGAATTCACTATTTGGTAAAAAAATTGTCAGGAAAACTGGAAAGCAGTCTGGCAGAAATTGGGTATGGACCAACATCTTACACCATTTGACCAAGATAAGGTCAAAATGGATACATGACCTAGATATAAAGGAAGATACCATA